ATGAATGTTTTCAACTAATTAGAATAAATTCAAGGCTGCCCTTATAACAATGTGACTCTCACTTTCATTTTGCTGTTTCTTAAATGAGAGGAGAAAGGAGTAGATTCATAGCTGGTGCTCCTTAAACATCTGTAGGAGTTAGTCTTGTATGTAAATTTTATGCATCATATGCAGTCCTCAGAAAAAAAATGTTAAAGATAGCTTCTCTGTACTACAGAATACATATAGGGGCATGCTCTGAATTATAAGTTTATTATAACCCTTTTTTAAAATGTAAAACAATATTAATGTGGTTGCCCTTTAAGGGACGGAGTCAGGGAAATCTAGTTGGCTGGCATTAAACTGCCTATTTTTACTAATTTATCTCCTAACTGGGTCCATATTTTGCTCTGATGAAGGATCCTCACATTTATTTCAATCTACTTTACAAAGTTGAATACAAGGTATCATGAAGATTAGATCAAGTGGTACATATTATCATTAATCTACCTCATTTCTTCCATGTGCAATGTGTTTTTCAAAGTGTGGTCTTTTGACCAGCATCACAAGCATAAGCTGGACACTTGTTAGAAATGCAAATTTTGAGGCCCCAACCAGATATTCTGAATCAAAATTTCTGCTCAGGGCCCAGCAATCGGTGTTTAACAAACCCTATAGGAGATTCTGATGCACACTGAAGTGTTAGAACCACTGCTCTAACCATATCCCACCTGGATAGCTTAGTACCCATTAGATGGTGTTTCACAGATAGTCTTTATTTAAGATTATCTAATCAGCGGAGGGCACTGCATCAATTGTTAGGAGGAAATTTTATTAAATCTACCTAGTCAAGTAACAAGCATGTAAATATTAATACACAAATTAGGCTCTGTTAATAAAAGTATGAGCACTATACTAAGTGATTTTTCACAATCACCATGCATATGAGGAACTTCTGCACATTTACATTTAGCTATTGTGTGTCCTGTACATATTTAAACATCATTGCCTGTTAAAGCAATAACATTTTTTTAAGGTCATTTTTCCTGTGAAGTTAAAAATGGACCTGGATTTTATTGACAAGTTCCCTGGGCTATAGAATCATTGTTTATGACACTCTTTTTTGCAAGTTGAGCAGTCTTTGAAGCATCTTTCTGACTTTAATCTTCAAAGCTTCAAGGGTAAAAGAAAAAATCACGATAAGTGATTTTCCATAGGCGGTTACAACTTGCATAGTTTATAAAGTATTTGGAAGTTAAAGATCAAATGTCTTATTTAAAGAGAATAGGTAAATCCAATTAAACCTCATTATTTTGGACTCTGCCAGTTCAGAAAAGTTGTGTCTGAAGTAGGAATATAAATTTCTATTGCTCAAGGAAAAAAAGAATTTGATAATCAAATTAATAATGTATGAAAAAGTGAGAAACAGAATTTTAGCTAATGAAGAAAAAATAGCTTCAAACTTTTAATAGCATCTTTTTGCCATTTTATTATGAATAGTCTATTGATAAAGAATGCTTGCTACCTACTCATTAACACTTTATCTGTATTGTACTAGAATATCTGATTAAAAGGAAAAACCTACATTTGTTAAAACCATTCTTCTGTTTGGATTTTCTAATAATTTAGACAGACAACTTTTCTTGTTTTATTCTAAATTAAGTTTTATTGTCTTGTTCTTTGCCTTCCACTTGTACCTCCCCATTTACAATTTATAGATGTTTTCCCCCAGCTCTTGCCCTCCCATCCATCTTCTAGTTCCTGCTTCATTTGGCTGCTTGTTCCCTTTAGATCCCACTATTTCAGTTTTCTGCTTCCTGCCCTCCCACTTTCCAATGGTCTTACATTTAGGTTCTCTCTCTTCTCTTTTCCCTCATCTTTGGTTCTCGACCACTGTATCTAGATTTGTTTTCTGGAGTTTTGAATTATTTCTGTTCTCTGTTATGATTAAAACTGCAAGGATGTAAGGAGAATTGGAAGGTAGCTGCATAGAGAGAATTGACATGTATTGAATACCTACTCTATGCTAGGTGATTTATTTATATCATTTAGTTCTCATAAAATATAGGTATGTTTTGTTATTATCTCCATTTTATTCTTAAGTACATTGAAGCTCAGAGAGGTTAAATATTTTGTTCTAATTCATAGAATAACTAACTGACAAAGCCGGTTTCAAATTTATATTAGTTAACTTATTTATTCATTCTTTTATTCAACAAATATGTATTGAGTCTATATACTATATGTTGGGCACTGTGTTGGTGGCTTAACCGATCTAGTCTTACTCTGATGGACCTCAACTGTGTAGTGACGTTGTCTGACTTCACAGATGGTGGTTTTTCTGCTACACCAAACAGCTTGAGAGAAAGAGAAACTAAAAAGGAAACAGAAAAGCTCTGATGTTTTATGGAAGAGGTATATTTGATACAGATGTAAAAAAGACTGTGCATTATTTAGGAACACCCTATCGAAAAGATTGGTTTTTGTGTAGTCCTAGAGAGAGTCTGACAGCCTCCCCTGTCATTCACTCCTGTCAGCACCAATGCCTTTCACTGGCATCATGAAAATATATATCTTTCTCTTATGTTCGAAAGTATACAAGATTTGTATCGATAGGCCCAAATTCTCTAGAAAGTCTTCAGAAAGAATTAACTGTCCTTCCTAAATTATGTTTAGAAAAAGATGATCTCTTTGTAAAGAATACATATATGCATTTATCTGTCCCTCAACCATATATTTGTTAATATCCTAAAAAATATTTAATGTGGTTTACCCAAATGTATAAATACACCAGAACCTTTAATAAGATAAATGTTGAAAAATAGGGCAAAGAAAAATAAGATGAAATTAGGTTGTGTTCTCTAAGCAAGTGAAATGAGACATTCCAGATAGACCACTGTGGTCTGGCCAAATCCAATGGTATATTTTAGAGGATGTAGAAAGATTAATTTATATCTCTTTTAGGTAATTCTCATATATAATTTGTCAATTGAGTTTTTTATGTAGTAGGTGACAGTGAGTTTACACACTCTTCTAAGTTTGTTTTATTCAATACTGCAACATCAGTGCCTTAGAATACTACCTAGCACATAGTAGATGCTTAATAAGTATTTATTATATGGATGGATAAATGTTGTGCTTTCAAGTATCTTTTTAAGTGAAAGACTTCCTCTCAACTATCTGTTGATATTTTCTTCCTTTGTCCTTAAGTAAAGTGTGCTGTTATACTTTGGAGTACATCTCTATGCAGGCCCCCAAATTCATTAAGTGTTAAACATTGCTTGTGTGACATTTTCGAGCAGATAAAGAAATAAATGTTAACCCTATCTAAAGAGCTCTTTTAAAGACTTTCTTGGTAACATCCCATGCTTGATTTTTAGGGCTCAAATATTTCAAGGTCCCTAAGAAGGAGTCGTAAATCTCAATACAGCAATTTATAACATGGTAATAGTGTTTCCTCTCAGGAGACTTCAAAATCATATCAGATAGATTGAATCTGGAAAATAAGGGATAGATTCTAGATAATGCTAGCTCCACAATTTTTAGCTATGTATTTAAGTAAAAGTAACCCCCAAATTTAGGAATTTAAGAATTTCCTTTTCTCCTGCGTGCTGGCCCTCTATTTTTAAAGCAGGTTTCATTGAAAAGCATTATGATAGTGCTAGTTTTCCTTTAAAATTTCTGCCATTGTTAAATAATTGCATTGTGCTGGGATTCAGTGGATCAGTAGATTATGTCAATTCTGCTAATCGTTTATTCTATATAATTATAAGGGATTAAATAACTAATTTATGTGCCTCTTAAAACTTTATTTATAACATCAACTGACGTCTAACATGTACTTGATGCATTTTAACTGCTTTGCTGATTCCTCAACCTAAATTTTGACCAAGGCTACAATCTTATTCAGAACTATCACTTTACTTCTAATGAAATATTAAAATATCCACCTTTCTCTATATTCCACCATAATTTACTTTTTATTTCGTTTGTCTTCTTATTTACTGGAAAAGTATTTTGCAATCTTTGTTTTTGTATTGCTCTCATTTATTATAACCTGCTGCATTTGTAGAAACAGAGGATTAGAAATGGATTAAGTCAGGTATTTCACTCCCAAAATTTAGCCTAAAACATATCTTTATCATCACAGTATGATAAATATGTACCTATTTTAATTGACTTTTAGAAATGAAAGTTTCCTATTTCCTTCATTAGCTTATCCAAGTTTAACCACACTTGTCTAAAAGAATGTCCTATCTTAAGACTTTCATTATAGAGGCCTGCCCGGTGGCGCAGCAGTTAAGTACGCACATTCTGCTTTGGCAGCCTGGGGTTTGCCAGTTTGGATCCCGGGTGTGGACATGGCACCGCTTGGCAAGCCATGCTGTGGCAGGCATCCCACATATAAAGTAGAGAAAGATGGGCATGGATGTGAACTCAGGGCTAATCTTCCTCAAAAATAAAAAAATAAAAACAATCAGATAATTTATATTGAAGATATGGAAGATGGTAAATCTAGAGTTTTTCTTCTGCCCAATAAATGGGGAAAATTGACTTGGTGAGTTCTTGAGTTCTTTTTAATTATATCATAAAACCATGGAGCTAGGAGAGATACAGAGAGAGCTCAGGTTTCTAGGGACTAATTATTTCAAGAATAATAGACACAGAAAAATACCCAGATTTCTCACCCTATGAAAATCTGTCGAGCTTCTATAGCAACTGAGGTTGTATTTTAAGATTTAGGTTATTAGGCTAGATGAGACTTCTATCAAATACTTCTGAGTTGTAAGGGTAAGAAAGGTCTGCTAATATAAAGTTCCCTGGGTGTCCTGATCCTCACTCAGCTTTTATTCAGTGGTCCCAAAGAACTGTCTTGATGCCTTAAAAAAAATGTTTGGAGAACTACAAAGTATGGTTTATAGAAAGCATGATTTATAGTTATTTTTAAGTTAATTTTACTACTCTGTATTCCTTCTTTTTGGCTAATTTCACTCAGTCTGCTATTTAATCTTTAATTACAGGCCACAAAAGAAGTAATAGAACGGGAAGCACCAGGGATGGCCCTGGCAATGCTGATGGGATCACTTAATGTTACACCTCTGGGCATGCTCTCTAGGTAAGAAAGTCACCAACATGTTGCAAAGAAAGTTAATTCCATATCTCTAATCACTACAGTAGACTGATAAACCTAAAGAACTTTCGTCATAACACTTAAGATTGCCCTCTTTGTATCCTAGAGTTAAGTCTTAATATCTTGTCTGGTTAAATCTTGGCCACAATTTTCTTCACGTTTTTTTTTTTTTTTACATATTGTTTAAATTTTTAGAAAATATTATATTACTGCTAAAAGTTGTTAATCCCAACCCAGAGAAGAGTTCAGTTTATTAAGATGTAAAATTATTCTTTTTGTGATTATTTGTAATCATCAATTAATATGCATTAATTGTCATTAAATACTAATTTAATAAAACTGAACAGTAGAATTTTTAAAAATAAGTTCTCATAAGTTAGGAACATTTACTCCAATTTGTAAATAGGCATAATGATGTGTGGTCATGAAAAGAGCTCAATAATATATTATTAGTTTATTAAATTAATATATTTAAAACTATGCCTTTGTTGACATAAATGTTGACATCCATCTTCAAATCCATCTTCGAGCTGATGGTTTAGTTATTTATTTATTATTATTTTAGCAACTCTTAGATTAAAATCCCCTTTAATGAGGACAGCATATGTTATTTAAGTTAAAGACAGAAATATCAACTTAGTGAGAATCTGTTGATTTAATGACCGTTGATTACTAGACAGTTGATCTCAAAGCACCCTAAAAATACATAGCAAGTTTCTAATTGCAGGATTTAACAATAATTATTTATAACCATTTATTGATCTTGTGTGCGATATGAACATAAAAGTTAATATATCCATTTGATGCATGGAATATGAGTCACAGTGCCCTTTCTGTTACTTAGACTAAGTTTATATCCTATTAGTGGCAGCCACTTGAAGCACAGCTACAGGGAAATGTGAATGGGCCATTAGTTACTATATTTTCTTTGCTGTCACAAGTACTGTATTATAATATTTAATTTTAGTAAGAGCAAAAAGAAAATTAAAGTAGCATGATTGAGATTTTAAATTAAAAGCCCATGTTGGTCTTTGAGGAACTCACATTGAATCTTTTATGCTGTTGGTGTTCTTTATTATTAACCCTTATTTATGTTACCTAGACATAGGAGGTAAATGGTCACAACTGATCTCTTTTCTTTGTGGAATGAAGTAGTGGTCTTTGAACACAAAAGAACTGTTTCTTGGCATACAAGGAATATAGTCAAGAAAGAATTAAATGTCATCTCTTGTTAATTCTTTTATAATAAAAGTCTAATTCAACAAACAAAATAATGCTCTATTTGCCAGGCCCATATTAACTATTAGGGATACTAAGGATAGAAAGAAAAATCAGGCATGGTCCTCAGCTTAAGGATCCCACAGTTTACCTGAAGAACTTATTCTTTGCAACTGTTAAGGTAACTCTAAATTGAATATAACTGTCTTGATCCAGCATGGAAATATCACTGTTGTCTTACTGAAAGATTTTTCTGGATTAATTTCTCCTCTACATTCTGAATCCACGTAATTACTGAGCCCTGGACTGTTGAGTGAGTGAAAAATTAATCAGCAGGAGCTTATTCTAAGTACTTTGGAATAGATCCATCATCTTTATCACAGCACGGTAACAGTTTCTTCTGGCTTTTCTTTGTGTTCATTACTAATTTAACTGAGAGTTTATTTACAAATTTGAAATAGAGATAGTAGTCTCCATGAGTTGTAGAAGAGGGAATTGTGGAATATTTCCTTGACTGTTCATTTTTTGTGCTTTTCAAAGCCATGATTAGATTGATGCTTCCTTTCTACAGCATTTTTACCTCATATGTACTTTGAGTTTTCTACATGCTTCTATTAAAGCACATACTATATTGTAATTATTTACTTACTTGTCTGTATTGCCTAATTTGTGTAAAATCCTTAAGAATGGGAGCTGTATCTTATTCATTTTTACATCAGTAGCCCCTAAAACAACTTCTGATACATAGTAAGTGCTCAAAAAATGGTTTTTTTATGGTTACTGTTGACAAATCAATGTTTCATCCTAGTTCTGATAGAATATTTTTCAAAGTAAAGTAATGCATCAAGTTGGTGCCTTGCCTTCCTATTTTTATCTCTAGACAGCAGCATTAAATAAAAACAATTTTTAATATCACTAAATTAATTTAAAATGGTTTTCATCTACTTGGTTAACTTAATATCCTCCAGTTTTCTTTGTACAAGTAAGTGGGAAGATAATATCAAGTAACAGTTAAGAGCATCATCTCTGAAGCCAGATTGCTTGAGTTCTATTCTGGCTCTACTACTTACTAGCTGCTTAGCATGTTTTTTTGTTTGTTTTCTCATCTGTATAATGAGGATGTTAGTAGTATCAAACTTCTTGGATTGAGTTAGTCCATGTAATGTGCTTAGAACAACTGATTCATAAGAAATCTTATTTGAGTGTTGATTACTGTTGTTGTGTTGTTATTGTTTGAAAGTTCTAGTTCTTACAGCAGTACTGCTGGCAAAACCTTCTAATAGCTTTCCTTCGTCTGCAAATGTCTTTATCTTACCTTCATTCCTGAAGGATATTTTCACTAAATACAGAATTCTGGATTGACAGTTTTTTTCTTTCATCACTTTAGAAAAAAATGTTATTCCATTGTCTTCTGGCTTCATGATTCCTTGGAGAAATCCACAGTTATTTGAATTGCTGTTCCCTTATGTGTAATGTATGGTTTTTCTCTGGATGCTTTGAAGATATTTTGATTCTTATGTGTCTGGGTGTAGTTTTCTTTGAGTTTATCCTTTTGGGTTCAGAGAGCTTCTTTAATCTGTAAATTTATGTCTTTAATCAAATTTAGGAAGTTTTCAGCTGTTAACTTTTCAAATTCTTTTTTCTGCACCAATCTCATTCTCCTCTCCTGCTAAGACTTGTGTGACATGATTTTTACATGTTTTGATAATGTCTCACAGGTCCCTAAGGCTCACTTTTTTTAATCATGTTTTTCTCTCTATACTTCACCTCAGGTTGTTTCTGTTGATCTAGGTTCAAGTTCACAGACTTTTTCCTCTTTCATCTCCATTGTGCCTTTGAGCCTATGCAGTGTGTTTTTAAATTTTGGATAACGTATTTTTTCAGTTCTAAAATTTCTATTTGACTGTTTTTTATAGCTTTATTCTAAGAACTTTTATCTTTGCATGTATTTCAAAAATGTTGACCTTTGTGTCATGGACAATGGTCATAATAGCTGCTGGAAATTATTTTTCCAACAATTTCAATATCTGGCTCACCTTGGGATTGACATCTGTTGATTTTCTTTTCCTGTGAGAAGTGGTCAGATTTTCCTGGTTCTTTCTATGTTGAGTAACTTCGGATTGTATTCTGGATATTTTGAATAGTATATTGTAAGACTCTGGACTCTGTAAAGTCCTCTGGAGACTGTTAGTTAGTTTTAGCAATCAGACTGATTGGATTCAGATTGTAAATTCTGTCTTACTTTCTGTGGGTGGTTGTTCAGCCTTTGTTAGACTTGGACAGGGGAGTATATTTTACTTATATTTTTAAAAGTCTTTCTTACACTTGAGTCCATTCCACACATGCATATTTCAACAGTGAGCCTGGTACTTCTGTCAGTTCGCTGGCACAATTAGGGGATCCACTTTCTCTAGCTCTCTCCTATCCAAGAATTTCCCCCCTGCTCTCCAGTTCCCCAGGGCTCTTATTTCTAGTTCCTCTAGCCAGAAGATATTTCTTGTGGAGTATTAACCCCCTGTGCTATTATGCAATTCTACACAATAGGACCACCTTCAGGGCAAAGAGGCAAAGGAAAAGAAAAAGTTGGGAAAAAATAATAGAGCTTTCTCCCATCCCAGCTCTTTAGACATAACAGGCCCCTTCTCCTAGTTCCACAACCCAGAAAGATAGGTCTTCTCTCTGGGTTTTAGTTCTCACATTACCATCATCATAGTAGTACAACTGGAACTAGACCCTTTAAGGGCTGTTATTGAAGTTCTGACTTCAGTTTCTAATCTGCCTGCTATTGTTTATGTTCAGAGTTCTCAGGTAGTCACTATTTGTATTCTGTCCACAATCAGTAAGAGAGAGAAGCTGTAGTTAAGCATCTACCATCTTGGTCAACACTGAAAGAGAAAGAGCTCTATTTTTAAAATCAGATCCCTGAGTTTATATCCTAGCACTTACTAGCATTTACTAGTTATGTGACCTTGGGTAATTTACTCATCTAGGTTTAGCACTTCCTGTTCCAGTAGCTAATTGAACTTCCCACAAAGGAGCAACATGATAACCTCCTTCAATCTATAATTTATGCCCCACTGACTTTTTAAAGAGATAAATACTTTTTGTTCTAAACTTCATTGACAATAATAGAGTAACCACTGTGGTTATGCTCTGAGGCATGATTTATCCTGGGGTTTATTCTCAGTTTTGCTATTAACTTGACTTGTGATCTCTACTTAGTTTTTTTAGTGACATCACATAGCTCATAGAAATGTTATGAGGTCCTATATAGATTTCCTCATTAGGAAAACCTTCTTTTAAGACCAGCCCCTATGGCCTAGTGATTAAAGATCTGCGTGCTCCACTTCAGCAGCCTAGGTTTGGTTCCCGTGTGTGGAACCATGCCACTCATCTGTCAGTGGCCATGCTGTGGCAGTGGCTCACATGAAAAAAAAAGATTGGCAACAGATGTTGGCTCAGGGCGAATCTTCCTCGGCAAAAAAAAAAAACAGAAAAAAGAAAAAAAAGAAAAACTATTAGATAAATATCTAAATTCATAAAAAGAAAAAGTGATAGGTAGTTTTTCATTTTATAAAAAGATTTTCCATTATAATACTCATTAACCCATCTTTCAACTGTGTTTTAACTGTTCAGTTCAGTTTTAGTTACATGGAATTTTCCATTATATCTCTATTTGATAAAGTAGGACTTGAAGTCCTTAGTTCATTTTTAATGTATGAAGTAGGACTAATTTGTTTTTGCCAGTTTGCTTCATTACCTACCAT